CTCTTGCTGGGATAATTGTACACTACAAAATGATGGCCCCAGCCTCACCTATGAAATTCTATCGGGGAGTATATATATATATATATAATCACATGCCTCCGATGCATTGGATTCCGGGCTTTTCATGTCATGTCATGGCGTGTGCGTGGCCTGAAAAAGAAGGACAAAGCAAAGAAAAGGACACTTTGTCAGTGCCATAAGCAGGACACTTTGTCAGTGCCACAAAGAAAGAAACAAAGAACAAGAAAAACAAAGGAAGTAAAGAAAAGGACACTTTGTCAGTGCCAAATGGAAAAGGGACAAAAAACATCCAGAAACTTAGAGGCACCATGGAATCTTTAAAAGGCTTTACCTAAGGTGCCCCCATTAATCTTGTAGTTGAACAAACTGAGTTTGTAGAGTATGTAGTGGGTCTTCTCGGCAAAATGCGTGCACCTTTTTTTGATGTTATTTTCTGAGAATCGCACCCTTCCTTTTCTTGTTCCAAAAATATTGTTTTTCTCTACTAAATGCTGGGGTGCACCCCTCCTTCTCTGATTTCTCGACATCCTGTTTTGGCAAGTTATGATCTTAGGTTTCTCAATTTGTGCTGGTCTCAAAACACAATTCTGGTGTGGAAATTCACACCGGGATGACATTGGGGGTTGGTTCACTGATGGAGATATTTTCGTTGTACGCTGGTTGGCGGCTTCTCTGTGAGGGCGTGAATGGAAATGAAGCTGGAGAGCAGAAATTGAAATAGTATCATCAATCGAAATATGTATTTCGATACATATGTATTTCAATCAATGGCATTGCCGGGCTGGTCACAGCGTGTTTCCTTTCCTTTCAACCTCCTTGCAAGGAGCTCACTCAATTGGCCAAAAAGGATGGAACGCGGCCACATTGGGGCCTTTGAGTTTGAAGGCGATTCGTCTTCATGCACAGCATCAGACGGCTTGGGCCTTTATGCTGCCTTGTTATTTTTGAATTCAATCTTCATTCTGGAAGAGGCCTTGACGCCGATGTGGCCAAAAGCTTCTTGGCGTTGATGGATTTGATTGAACTGTTGCATATGTCAATGAGAGATGCCGTGGACGCTGCTCGGTTGGACACTTTGACCCAAACATGTTTGAAGAGGTTTGTGAAGGCCTGTCATCCCCAAGCATCATCTGATGCTTCATTTGGGGAAGTGCCTGAGGGCCTCCTGAGGGAGCAGAAATTTATCGGTAGCTGTTTCTGCCACGATGGAGACCATTTACACAATACTGGACCATGGTTTGACCGAAAGATTTTGGAGGAACTTCGGCAGCATCGGTGTCGTTTTTTCGGCGCTTATATGTTCTTTGGGATTCCACACGAATGCATCCAAGCGCAGGAGACCACGTTATCGCTCCAAGCTCTTGACCCTTTACGAGACGCAGTGTGCTACTTTGAGCCACCTCTGCAGCGGCTCCTGCAAATGTGGGTTATGAGTCCACGTTTTTTGGTCGCACCACTCTGTTCTTATTTCCGGTGCATATTGCATGGCTGGAGACGTGGTCTTGTTCGAGGTTCCTACGGATGGTCAAGTCAACTTTGGCAAAGTTGAGATGCATGCTTTGCAAAATGGTAAAGCTTTCACATGCGTGTCGGTGTGGCCAGTGTCAGGGGTGAATGAACTGCGTCCTGACAAGAGTCAGAAGTGGTATCCAACAAGATGCGTGAATGGCTGCCTCATTTGGCACACTTTGCCAAACGGAGTCGTAAAGATTGTGCATCAAAAATTCTAACGGAAATCTTCGACCTGTTTGCTGGAAGGAATTGCTCCTGCGCAGGATTGAAGTTGTTTGCTTTGTTTCACGCAATCCTCGACCTGTTTGCTGAAAGGAGTTGCCACTGAGGGGGGACGCCGCACAGGGGACGCATCATACAGCTCAGACATGTTCAGACATGTTTACGTTTATTTTGTTTGTCTGTTTCATTCCTCGACGCTGTCAGTGGGAGTTGCTCCCGGTACCTGAAAGGAATGAAACTTTGGTGGTTTTAATCCCTGCAGGCGCCCCTCCGTGTGAACTTCTCAGTACGATCCAGGACGTGTTAAATGTGCGGGCGCGACTTGTGGAATTAGTATATAGCTCTTCTCACAGCAAAAGGGAGGGAACCAGAGGGCTGAAGAGGAACCAAACCTGAGGGATGCAGAGGGCTGAAGACACCAGAGGGCTGATTGTTTTGATCCGGAGCCCGAATACATTATATATATATATATACATACTGTATATATATGTATATATATATATACATACTGTATATATATACATACTGTATATATACATACTGTATATATACATACTGTATATACATACTGTACCACACCTGTATATCCAACCATACGATGGAATGGCACGAAGCTTTCAATGGCACGAAGCGTTCAACTTCTTTAGAGGCCTCCAACGACGACCTCGCCTTCGCTGGATCTATGCCTTCACTGGATCTATGACCTCTCCATCACTGGTTTTTTGCCAGGCACTCGGGATACAGAGGCAATATATATATATATATAGAACACTTGCATGGAACCAGGCAATTGGTTTGGTAGGATGGAATGCCTATATGGTTTGGGTGATCTTTCTTGCCATCTACCCTTCAGGGTATATACCGTTCCAACCTGCTCATCCATTATAGTTCCATCCCACCGAGCACACCCCGCGTCGTTCCGCTAGAGCGCAAGTGCCAGGCTATATCCAACGCAGACATGACGGAGACAGGTGTTTGGACATTTGCGGAGGCCGGCGACCGGGAAATTCATCTATGCCAGATTCTTCTACGCAGATATGACCTATAGTAGACACATATTTCGTTTATATGTTTGTTCGTTTGTGTTTCTTTTTTTGTGAGTGCGTTCATGTCATTGAAACCCTTGCGAGACACAATTGTGTGGTTCCTCAATTAAACATCGAAACGTATACATAGCGCTTCATTAATTGAAACGTTTGTCAGGAGAGGGTCCATGATTATATAGGCTTCTGTTTGGTCGCAAGAACCACGTTTTTTGGCCGCACCAGGATTCTAATGCTCATTTTTGGGATCACTGTTCTTAATAGTTTTTTATATAGGATGTTCCTTGCTGTTGGATATATAGTAGTTCTAGAATTTCAGATATACACAACAAACCGCAAATGCCAAGCCCTGCCAACCAGTTTGCAGTGATTTGTTTCATCCGTTGTTCCATCCCACCGAGCCGAGCACTTGCCAGGAATGACGAGTCTGATGATGCAGCAGAGAGAATGAAAAAAAAACGTGCGGCGACCGGGAAATTCATCCATGCCAGATTCTTCTACGCAAGTGTGACCTGTTTATGTGTTTTTTTCGTTTGTGTTTATGTGTGTTTTGTTTGTGTTTATGTGTCATTGAGACCCTTGCGAGACACGTGTTCTAATTGTGTGGTATAATGCAACAGTGTTTCCTTGCACCGGCTCGCTGACACAGGTTATAACAGGCAGTATAGGTGGATTCAGGGCATGGCAGATTCACATCGATTGGTGTGTTGTATCGCTATGTTTTATCTTGAACGCTCTAAAGTTTGATTATCTAACATCCGGAAGTGATTTTGCCATGTATATCAATGCTGAACTGCGTCAATGTTCAGTTAATTTCATCTGACAGTTTTACAATGCCCAGGCCAAATCCAACTCACGGGATGCGGATATATGATTTCATTTCACGCAGTACTCCATGGCTCAAATCCAATTCCAACGTCGTATACTATAGACTGTGGAATTGTTTGCGTGGAATATAGCCTATAGCCTTCTGGTTGGGTATTCGACGTGGCATCATACTTTGCAAGAACCACATTTTGTGGTTGCACATGGTGGCACACAAGCGCGCAGAGTTTAATATCATTTTTTTTAAAGATCACTATTCCTAATATGGTTCCACTGTATATGCACGTTGTGTTAAAACTTTAATTCTTACTAACAGCATTTTTTCTATATGTAGGACGTTCTTTTGGATCATTATTACTAACATTGTTTTCTATACGTAAGATGTGTTTCATTTTTGAATATAAACTGTATATGCACCATGTAGTTTTTTGGAATCACTCTTCCTAACATGTTTCTGTGTGTGTTACTTTTTGTGTTACTCTTCCTCATATGGTTTTTCATGTATATATTGTGCGATGTGTTTTTGTTTGTGATCACTCTTCCTGACTGTTTTTCTATATGTACTGGTTGGATCACTCTATATATGTTTTCGAAAAGGATATAGCACTTCCAATGGCTGTTTGTCATGCTCATGGAAGGGTCAAAAGCCTTGAATATATACCCAAAACGCCACTGCAACCGTTGCGTTGCGGGTATATATTAAACATACTCAACAGCCGAAAATATATTTGTGTTCCGCTTTTTGTAGCTCTCCCAATGTGTTTTTTTTTGCGTTTTTTATTTATGGTTATCGCAAACCAATATGTTTATCTTAGTTTTCGTTCCACTAGTGTTATGTTTTTTTGTTTTTTTAGATACAGTATCAGCACTTTTGGCGCGTCATAAGTCCAACTTGTCGAACTTAGCCAAGTGATTTTTTTTGAACATGTTCTACTTAGTTGCACTTAGCTATGTTGGACTAAGTTCGACCTAAGTACAACACGTTGAACATAGGCCACTTGGCTAAGTCCAACTAAGTTCAACACTAAGTTCAACACTAAGTCCGACTAAGTTCGACTTAGTATGTAGGCTATGTTGGTTAGTAAGTGCACTTATAAGCTGGACAACCAGGCTATCTACTTATAACCCCAACCGCACATCCAAGTAAGCCCAGCGTTATTCCTCCGAGCTCCCTCGCCGCCAGTTGCTCATCGGCGGCACCGTCGGCGGCAACGCATTCGATTTTTTGGCACAAAGCCGTATACATCTCTAAATCCGGCCTCGATGATCAAAAATTAAAATAACAAAATCAAATGCCACATTAAAAAGGACCCTCAACAACTGGCACATTCAGCGTATCAACTGGAAACAAAAAATGATCTCAGTGAATCGAGTCGCTTCTCGGCCTCTTTGCGTGCTTCGGCGGACCAGTGTGGCGGCGCTGCAGGTGTGCTTATGCTTTTCAAGCCTTGCATGGTTGCCAAGCGCAGGCCATCTGCACCAGAGGCGTCTGCGGCAGGCCCACCGACATGCCTTCTCATCTGCAAAGTGCCTTCTGTGACTTGCAACTTTGAATCACAGCACTTGAACCGCATGATGAATCTGGTTCCTTTCCGCTTGTCTTGCTTGAGAGTCACTGTGGTGGCCGACAATAGTGCTGCTCTGTACCTGTCCCTCTGTGCTTCTGCCAGGCACCAGCGCATCTGAGACACTTTCTTCCTACAGCCAATGCCCTTGATGCCACCCTCGCTGAAGTTGTCAATGTCATCCAGGACCTGATGGCGCAAAAACATGAAGTTTTACTTGGCAATTATTGTCATAAATTTAGATTCAGAACAAAACAGCATGTGAGCTCTACAAATCTCCCATGGCCCTCCTCGCCTTCAGCCAGTGCTCGTGAGGAGGCGCCGCCGAATCTGGCAACTTGGAGTTGTGATACGCCACAGCAGCTTGATGCAAAGCACATTGCTCATGCTTCTGGAAGCGAGATTCCCGCAAAGCACCGCTGTCGACAACCCTATAGCCACCAAACAATTGCTTTGAAGGCGGCAGTTGTTGGCTGATCTCTGGGTTGTGCCTGGCTTTGGCGCACAATTTGCAGCCCACACCCCACCTCTGCGAGTCTGGGTCATATTGGGCATCCAACCAGCCGTGTTTGGCTTGCCAAGAGGTCTTGTTGGAAACCCACTTGCAGCGCCCACATTGCTTCACCTTCAGACTACAATGCGCACGGTGGTCCTGGTCATCCCATCCACCCAGCGCCAGAAGTGCTATGACTCCTGGCGTGCATTCAGTGGACTTAGCAAGATCAACCTCACAGACGCCGTCCATCTCCATTAGGCGCCTACTTTCTATTCTCCTCTCAGCCAAACCCAAACTGTCAGGAATTATTTCCAGTTCCCATGTCAGCAATTGTCTCCACTACAATCAGAATTCAAACTATTTACTGACTGATATTTAATTAACAGTGACAGTGAGGACTGAGAGTCCTGCCTGCTGTCAGATTCAATTGATTCAACAGTGACGGCCGGGAGTCCTGCCTCCTGTCAGGTTGACGTTCAACCGTGAGTGAGGACAAGCCATCAACTGTGCCTTTTCTTTCACACTGGTCCTGGTACATGAATCTAGATTTTTTGGCCACCAACCCGGGCTGGATTATTACTGTCAGGGCCAGTTCTTGTAACATGACTCTTTAAGGTTTTGAAAGGGATATCGGAGTTAAGGCAAGGGATGGGGTGCGAAAACGAGCAAGATCACTGGGTCACAATGAATATCACTGTGGCTCTCAGGAGTTACAAGACTCTGTCAATTGCCAAAACGACAATTGCAGGTGTCATGGCGTCCAGCAAGGATGCTACAAGCTCGCAAAGCTGGCAAAAACATAGAAAAACAAAAATGAACCAAAGCCCAAGCTACAGTCGCCTACGCGCTCAAGCTCAAGCCCTCTTTCCGGAGATAGCATGGAAAGCCCTGCACGCGTGACATATTATGGCCTTGCTTGCTTTGAGCAAGTGAGGCCGCCTGAGCATGAAAGGACGCATTGCTTGCTTCTCTGGTCCTGGTCCTCCTCACCATCTTCATGAAAGACCACGAGCTTCTGCATGCGCCCCGCAATGCCAGACTGGACAATGCGACGTGCATCATCCTCCTCAATCATCTTCCACTCGCAACCGTCGTTTTGCAAAGCATAGGTCAAGTGGCGACAAAAGCGAGGATTAGCCACCATCAAGTTGCCAGTGCAGAACACCGATCGCTTCTGGCGCATTGCAGGTACGTAGGCAACGCATGCACCCCTCATGCCTTTGGACTCAACAAAGTCTTTGCCCCACAGGCATGAACCGCAAAGTCCAGCCAAGAGCTCGATTTCCCCAGGGCATGCTGTAAGTCGCGCTAGGACCAAGCAATCAGCTGCAGCAGGTTGCTGCGCCAATGTGGCGGCCCCGGGTGGAATAACAAATCCGACTCGTCATCTCCTGCCATGTGAGGCATCAAAAAGCTGCCATGGAAGAAGAATCTCTTTGAAAGCTTTAAGTGCAGGGCCGCTTTTTTCCTTTTTCCAAAGACCTTCAGATTCAAGAACTTCTTAGTAGCTGTTCTGGATGCTTCTTGGAATGTCGGGAAGACAGTGGCTGCACACCCAGTCTTTCAAGTGGCTTAGAAACCAGTTCCACTCTGGTTTGTTGAAGCATTCATTCTGTTCCAGGAAGCACAACGATGCCACAATCTCTTCCTTCATGATTTGCATGTTAGGGTGCACTGGCTCCTCCAAGCGACTGGGCATCGGTGAATCCACTCGGGGCAAGCGATCTTTGTTGTCTTCAGGCAAACTTGGAAAGTCCAGCCGCAAAAGGATTCGGCTCAGCCCACTTAGCCATTCCACTTGCCGGTTGTTCTGCTGGTAGTACCCAATGACATTGCGAAGATTCTCAGCAGAATCGAGCTCGGTTGGAGACACCAAATGCTCGCGGAGCTGAGCTGCTTCCTTCACAGCAGACATGGGCTGAGGCGGCTTACACCTTGAATCTCAGAAGGGCCAAAACCTGCAAAATTTAACACATGAATAATGCATCTGCAGGGAGGGTTCACTGCAAGGCCAGAATGGTAAAGGTTTGAGTTGAAGTCAGCAACTGCGATAAGAAATAATTTATCGCTCCTGCCACTTCTGAGTGTGAGGTGAGAAGGCAAAAACTCCTACCGCATCAGCAAGTGTGACCCTGCCACTTCCAAGTGTGAGGAGAGTTATGCGGAGTGGAGTGAACCCTGCAACTAATACCACAGTGGTGGATCCTGCAACTATACCGCGTGGTGGACGATGCATCCACAGCCATAATAAATTCAGTCAGTGTGAGGAGAGTCGTTAAATCCTTCCACCTTCAAATTATGTGTAGGTGTCTGAAGAGCAACCGCTGTCGCATCTGCCTATAATGTAAAATGGCAACGCCCGGTAGCTCTCAGAATTAGATGACCTCTCTCTGCAGGGCTTGAACTTCATTGTGGAGGAGGGCTTGAACTTCTGCAACCGTCCGCTTCGAATGACCTTTCTCATCCGCGTCAGTCTGGATAGGTCGATGCATAATGTCTTTGGCATAGCAAGGCAGGGCGGCGGAGCAATTCGATGCATTTGTCTTTGGCATAGCAAGGCAGTGGAGCAATTCAATTTTATTGAGCAACCAACTGTGTCTGCCGACAAGACTCGACGACAACCCCGGACAACCCCGTCTTGGAGTTGGAGTTTTCCCGTTTTCTATTTAATTAAACGGGTATTATACACCCCCATCCAGATGCCCTCTTTTTTACCCAAAACGTGGAGAGGAGCCTGACAAATCCCAACTACTAGCTGCTGAAAAGCGCCGCAACTGCACCTGGTGTGCATTTGCTACCCCAACTGGAGCAAGCTAACTCAGCTGGTTTCGTCATTGACAGCTAACCTTCGTCTTTTGGAAAAGCATTTATAGAGGGCAGTGTATTCTAACCTCAGCTTTTCGTAGGCTTCCGCAAGGGCGTCGTAGCCGTCGAGTTTATGAAGGTCCTCTTGTGAAAGTCGGACCCGAAGAGACGTGCGCGCCTTTTCATACCTCGATCAGCCAATTGCTTCTGAAAATCTGTCACCCGAAAATAGCTAAAATTGTCATCTGTCAACTCTTGAACTTAAAATTATAGCTAAACCACAACAGCTACAAGGGACTGCTTGTTTTTGGAAGGCGAACGGGTGCCACACTTCAGTGCTGCATTGTCGCTCTTGGCCGTAAGTTCTGCCTTCACAATTGGCCCCCTGACCATGGCTGGCTGATATCCACTGCGGCAAGACGACATTTCTGCCTTCACAATTGGCCCCCTGACCATGGCTGGCTGATATACCCACTGCAGCAGCAAGACGACTATCTGGCCAGCTATTTTTGCCCCACTTGAGCGCAAGCGGCCGGTTTCATATAAACTGCGCCACGACAACCCTTCCCGATGGTCTCGACCCGGTCAGAGTTAATTTTGGTGCCAGCAGCTGTAAAAAAACGGTTCCCAAAGACAATTCAATGCTTCCAGGCCAATTATTTAAACTCCGCCGTATTAATTGCTGAAAGCCATGTTTCAAGCAAACAAGTTCGAGGGAAGTTCGACGGAGAAGTTGAAGACGAGTGGCTCTTCTATTTTGAATGAAAAATGACCAAGCCTGTCCAGAGAAATTAGTAGTGATGGTAAGTGACCAGGCATATGTATGCACAACAAATTGCAAACGATTTTTGCCTAAGAAATTTTCTTAAAATTTTCACACACTAATTGTATTTAAGACAGCATCTAAAGAAGTTTGTGCCCCAAAAAATCAAACTTTTCTGGCCAGACTACCCAGCTACTCACACATCTTAACATTTCAAAAAAAGATTAAAAACAACATGAAAATGCACAAGTGACCCTAGCCACCTGCTAAAACCAGACCAGATATACAGGTGGGTTTGCTTATCGACCGGAGTTTCCTAATGCAGGTGCTGTTCAACGCACCCTGGCTAGATACGCCGAAGATCTGCATTGCAAACCGCCTTTCCATCCCGACGGCTTAGTTCCCATGAAATTTGTTGTCCCGTCGTTTCATGCTGTTGAACCCGTTACACTTACTTTTGACCAACGATTTCTGTATCGCCGGCGACTTCGTCAAGCTTGGAATCAAAATCTTGATCTCGACACAGTTGATATTCCGCCTGCACCAAATTAGGAATTTAGTCTTTGTGATGCTGTTACCCTCACTTGCACCATGCCTGCTGCGGAAATTCGGTCTCACTTAGATTTTTTCACGGTTTTGGTTGACTTTGTACAGTCTCCGCTATATCTTACAAGAAGATATCGACCAAACTCCCAGACACCCGTCAATCCGACGAAGGGTCTTGGGAAGCGGCATGACACGACCGCAAGTTGTGCGAGTAGTAAGGCCAGGAGCCCCGTTCGTAGCGTCCTTGCTCCTAGTAGCGAGGCCCTTTGTTCCTAGTAGCTTCTTGTTACTATAGTAGTAAGGCCGGGAGCCCCTAGTAGCGTTCTTGTTCCTAGCAGCGATGCCAGGAGCCCCTAGTAGCTTCCTTAGTGGGTGTGCCTCGAAGAAAAGAGTTTGGTGACGCTGAGATGGATTCAGTGTCCAGCCCACTACATGTTGAGGATCTCCGGCCAGGACACTCAGAAAGGATAGTCAGTTGTATAACATATGACTATATTTTTACGATGTATGCGATACTCCATGATACTCCGATATGGAATTTCCAGCTTTGTCGTTGCTTGAAGCCGTGACTTCAAAGAAAGCTGGAGGGAACCCGCCGTAAAGGGACCGTACATCGATGGTTTGGGTTATAGGTTCCTCCCCGAGCAGTAGGTTCCTCCAGGTGACCCTTGGATCAGGTGATGCTCCGTTGTCAAAGCCCTTTGGAGGGGTCAGGGCATCAGGTCCATCCAACTGTACAGTTCAAACATGTTTAATACATTGGATTTATATAAATTGTAACC